AAAAAAAAAAAAAGGTTTCTTAAATTAGCCAAGAGGGATGGTGTTTGTCTATAGGCCCAGCTACTCAGGAGGCTGAGGATCATTTAAGCCTAGGGGTTAGAGGCTGCAGGGAGATGTGATCACACCACGGCAGTCCAGTCTGGGCAAATGGTGAGATCCATGTCTAAAAATAAATAACTGGATTTCAACTATATTCAAGAAGGTCTTACTAGTGAAAGATGCTTATTAAACTCATAGTTTACTAACTTCGAAGCTACTATTCTTAGGCTGGATTCAATGACAAAAGTTTTCTTTAAAAAGATAATGTAAGACAGACATGGTGGCTCACACCTGTAACTGCTAGCACTCTGAGAGGCCAAAATAGGTAGACTGCCCTGAGTTCAGGAGTTCAAGACAAGCCTTAGCAAGAATGAGACCCTGACTCTACTAAAAATAGTGTCTCAAAAGAAAAATAACAAAAACAAATTACCTGGACATGGGAATTTGCTAACAACTCTGGGGAGGCACCCTGAGGTTCTCCAACCTGGCTCACGAACCTCTCTTACTGGGAGGGCTCCTTCCTCAGCAACTCTCAATGATGAGAAACAGTTCTTGGAAAGATGTGCGCAGGGCCTCATCAGGTGCTAATGGGGGTGCTCCACTCCCACTTAGCTCGGCAGACTACACAGCCCTGGCCAAGGTCTCTTGCTATCACCCCAACATTTGCTATCAGACAGAACTCAGCACTATCAGCTACCTCTAATCCTAAAAGATCTTTTCCTGTATAAACCCTAACTCTTCGTGTGCCTCAGGCCAAGTCTGTTGTTGCTATTTTTGAGATAGAGCCTTACTCTGGCCCTGGCTGGAGAACCGTGGTGCCATTAAAGCTCACAGCAGCATTAGCCTCCCAGGCTCCAATGATCCTCCTCCCTCCGCCTCCCAATTAGCCAGGACCACAGGCGCTGCCACCATACCCAGCTAATTTTTCCTATTTTTTAAGAAAAGAGATCTTGCTGTGTTGCTCAGGCTTTTGAGCCAACTTTGGATTCTGAAATTTACCTGAGGATGTCCCCCTTATTGAGATTGAGCAGAACGTTGTAACCCTGGAACTCGGCCTCACGGGCGCAGGCCACACCCCTGCCACGCAGGTCCTGGTACATCTCCTTCAGGCTCTGCAGGCATTTGGTCATGTTCTCATTGTTGATCTTGGCATCGAAGGAGGACATGGGCTCCTCACACATGAAGTGGGCACAGTGGATGTGGAACCGGGTGCACTTCTCAATCAAGGATACAGTCAAGGGGTCACAGAGATGCTGCTGTGTGATGTCCTGGCAGTAGGTGAGGGGGAGGAAGTCACACGTGGGCACACCCCACTCGCACACGCTTCTCATACAGTCCAAGACCATGCTTACTCCCCAACTTCTCTTATTTCAATTTGAAACAAAGCCTGTGAAGAACATCTTAATAGGACTTTATAATGGTTGAAACAAAAGCATGTATTTATTACAAATGACATATAAATGAGTAAAAGGAAAGCAGCCATCACTTTGACTTTGGAATTGACATGCATTTTCTAGTCTTCAGATTGGAGGCAGCTGATACCTTCCGGATGCCCCGAGTGCGGTTCCACACGAAGTCGTACCAGTCCCTCAAGCTGCCTTCCTTCTGGTCCATGATCTGGGTCACCAGGTAGTCCATGGTCCTGCTCAGTACCGCTGAGGGCCGCAGCTCATGTGGCAGGGGCTCCTCCTGATCTGCTGAGGACCGGCTGTACTCCTTCACAGCTGCCGCATGGTCCACCTGGGATGGGAACAGGGACAAGCTGCTTGGGTGGCAAATGCAGGGCCCTCAGCACAGTTATGCCTTCAGATGATGGTAGAATCACATATATACTCACACAAGAACAATATTTGAGAATACTTTTTTTTTCCTTAGAGAGAGAATCTCATTCTGTCACCTGGAATAAAACGCCTGGTGTCATAGCTCACAGAAACCTCAAACTCCTGGGCTTAAGCCATCCTCCTGTCTCAGCATCCTAAATAGCTGGGACTATAGGCGCCCATCACAACACCTGGCTAGTTTTTCTATTTTTAGTAAAGATGGGGTCTCACTCTTGCTCAGGCTGGTCTTGAATTCCTGGCCTCCAAGAGTGCTGCGATTACAGGTGTGAGCCACTATGCCTGGCCGAGAATACATTATAAAATCCATAAACAAAATGAATTGAGAAACTTGACTTTGGCAAACATGACAAGGAAAGAAGGTGTCTGTCCCCAAGAAGCACAAAAAATATATGTCTATTAGGGATGTCTATTCAGACCAGAAGGAAATCTGAGGGCAGCAGTGAGGACAGACAGGCCCTATAACAGAGGCTCTGTAGGGCCAGCTACGGCTACCCAGGGAGGCTGAGGACACACAGGCTAGGATGGTAAGATCCACAGCACTATGTCACAATCATCTATTCTCTCCTAGGGCAGGAACTGTGGGCTTCTATGGTGACACTTAGCACTAAGCTAGGGACCCTACATCAGGCAAAGGGCTATTAAGCCACAAGCTAAAGAGAAGAGAAGCCCACAGCAAAATTTACACAGAGCAAAAGGATCTAAACTAGCACAAAGTCCTGAGCCAGCAGTTTGGGAACGTACTTCAACACATGTTCAGAAAAGGGAATACCCTCTGATGCAGTAATTTAACTCTTAGAATCTATCCAAAGAAAATAATCTAAATACTACAGAAACCCTTCACAGAAGAAAATCTAAAAAAATCTATTAATAGAACTGAAAAATCTTACACAGCCAATCTACTGACGGCAAGAACAGGGAGTTCCGTCAGAGCTACATCATCAAATGTACCACTATTTATTAATGTTTAGAGGTCATTGTAAAAAAGACACATGCTCATAATATAATTTTAAATGTAAACGATACATACAAAACTGTGTCTAAGGCACAAATGTGTAAAACATACAAAAGGACAGGAATAAGGCCAGACACGATAGTTCACACCTATAATCCTAGCACTCTGGGAGGCCAAGACAGGAGGATCACTTGAGGCCAGGAGCTAGATAAGCCTGGGTAAGAGCAAGCCCTCATCTCTATAAAATATAAAAATATTATCTAGGCATGGTGGCTCATGCCTGTAGTCCTAGCTTTTCAGGATGCTGAGGTAGGAGGAGCTCTTGAGCCTAGAAATTGAAGCTGCAGTGAGCTATGATGACACCACCATACTCCAGCCAGGGAGACAGCGAGAAGATCTCACGAACAGAAAATAGCAAAAATTTCCACCACCCTCTAAAGAAAGCAAACACCCACATCAAATATCCATATATACAGAAATTACAAAAGAATAATCTCCCCTGCCTTGGCACCCGTAGTACAGTGGTTATGGCGCCAGCCACATGCACCGCAGTTGGCAGGTTTGAACCTGGCCCAGGCCTGCTAAACAACAACTGCAACAAAAAAATAGCTGGGTGTTGTGGCGGGTGCCTATAGTGCCAGCTACTTGGTAGGCTGAGACAAGAGAATCACTTAAGCCCAAGACTTGGAGGTTGCTATGAGCTGTAACACTATGGCATTCTACCAAGGCAGACATCATGAGACTGTCTCAAAATAAATAAATAAATAATCTCCCTTCCCCTGCACACCTTTCCTCTTCCCCATGGAGTCCTATGGAGCTCACCTGGTCAGTCCCCGGGACCACTTCAAACACACTCAGTTGGCTCCGGGTCTCCCGCATGTACCGTTCCTTCTCGGGACACATGTCCGGACACGTCCCAACAAAAGTCCTCGCTTTGTCCAGATCAGTTCTTTTCACCCGAGCTAAAGACATCATGTAAATGCTAAGAATGTGACACACAGTCAGCAAGAACCCACAGGAGTATATTTTCATAACGACAATAAGAAAAATTAAAATTAAACAAACACACACAAATTACCAAGGGAAAAAAATACTTTTAAAACTATGAGTCTCAGAGGAAGAGACCGACAGGAAGAGACCTACCCCACCAAGCAGTGGCATCAAAATTCACAAAGACCACCTCCAGAATACCCCTACAGATCAGAGGCCCTAGACTAGAAAGGGGCCCATCCTCACTGCCAGCCGATGTCCACCAGTGCACACTAACTCTTATGATGACCTCAATGACAAAAAATCATGTTGCAGTGTATTTGCTAAAAGGACAAATTTGTTAAAAATGCAAACATTCAAAACAGAGCAGTGCTCTATGCTGTGACCACAGTAAGCAGCACATGACAGAAGCCAACAGAGCCCAGGGAAGAAGTAAACCAGCATGACCACAGAGCTGAGCTATCAAGTGGAGACCACAGAGGCCCAGAATCAGTTCAGCTTATAACAGCCCAGTGGGAAGAGGAGCTGCCTCCCTAGGCTCCCAAGAAGATGGCAACCACGGGTCAGCCGTAAATACACACCACACCTTGGCGCATGACTCTGTCTCTCTGGTCCAGCAGGCGGTACTTCTCCTCAGAAGTCTCAGCCACGGTGCCAATCAGGGCACTAAGGGACGACACACAGGGCCCCAGGCCCTCAGAGCACTCGGAGCCTGAGTCAAACAGGTCTCCCTCAAACTGGTGGGCCTTCAGGAGACTTGGCTTCTTCACTGGAGAGCTACAAAGGAAATAACATGTAAAGGGTCCTTTTATCTCCCAGACTGTGATGTTATTTCCATTTCTGAACATGCCCTTCATCTTTCAAGATTTTCTATCTCCTATAGCTGACAAACTACAAGCACTGAAATGAAGTGAGCCTTTTTTTTTGTTTTGAGACAGAGTCTCACTTTGTTACCCTCGGTAGGATGCCAAGGCATTACAGCAACCTCAAACTCTTGGGCCTAAGTGATTCTCCTGCTTCAGCCTCTCAAGTAGCTGGGACTATAGGCACCCACGATGCCTGCCTATTTTTTAGAGATGAGGTCTCTCTCTGGCTCATGCTGGTCTCGAACTCATGAGCTCAGGCGATTGACCTGCCTCGGCCTCCCAGCGTGAACAACTGTACCTGGCCTTTTTTTTTTTTTTTTTTTTTAAATAGAGACAGGGTCTCTCTGTCACTAAGGCTGGAGTGCAATGGCATCCTCACACCTCAATACAGCCTGTAACCCCTGGACTCAAGCAATCCTCCTGCCTTAGCTTCCTGAGTGAATGGGACTACAAGCATCACTATGGCCAGTTAATGCTTTTTTTTGTAGAGATGAGGGTTCAGTATGCCGCTGGGGCGAACTTAGCCTCAAGTGTTCCTCCTGCCTCCAATCCCAAAGTATAGGATTATAGGAATGAACCATCATGTCCAGCCAAGAGAAGCCTTCCCAGAGATCTCTGATAAGCACAATTGTTAGTCACTGATATTTTTTTTTTTTGCATTTTTTGGCTGGAGTTGGGTTTGAACCCGCCACCTCCAGCATATGAGGCCGACGCCCTACTCCTTTGAGCCACAGGTACTGCCTTGATATTTTTTTAAAACTTTAAAAAAGTTAAACAAGGGCTGGGTGTGGTGGCTCACTCCTGTAATCCTAGCACTCTGGAAGGCTGAGGAGGCTAGGTTGCCTGAGCTCACAGGTTTGAGACCAGCCTGAGCCAGAGAGAGACCTCGTCTCTAAAAATGGTCAGGTATTATAGCCAGTCCCTGTAATCCCAGCTACTTGGGAGGCTGAGGCAAGAGAATTGCTTAAGCCCAGGAGTTTGAGGTTGCTGTGAGCTGTGATGCCACAGCACTCTACCAAGGGTGACAAAGTGAGACGGTCTCAAAAAAAACCAAGCTAAATGAGCTCATTTTAATAGCCAAATGAACACTTATAGATTTCTACCTCATAGAAATAGAAATTCAGCCAGGGGCGGCACCTACGGCTCAGTGGGTAGGGCGCTGGCCCCATATACCGAGGCTAGCGGGTTCAAACCCAGTCTCAGCCAAACTGTAACAAAAAAATAGCCGGGCGTTGTGGCGGGTGTCTGTAGTCTCAGCTACTCAGGAGGCTGAGGTAAGAGAATCGCCTAAGCCTGGGAGTTGGAGGTTGCTGTGAGCAGTGTGGATGCCACAGCACTCTACCAAGGGTGATAAAGTGAGGCTCTGTCTCTACAAAAAAAACAAAAACAAAAACAAATTTAGCCTGGAAAAAACTTTAATAGCTTAAGGAAAAATATGTCTATATGTTTTTATACAGAAATGTCTTCATCCCTTGTTTTCTAGTTGGCTTTCATCATTCTCTGAACTTGAATGTAAACGACGACATAAGAATGACTGAGTAAAGAAGAAAAAAGAAAATACATACCAACAACAAATTTGCTATTCACAAAATGGAAAGTGAGAAATTCAATACATTGGCCAAAAGATGAAAGGAAAGATTAAACAGAGGCCTGCCAAGGAGGCCAAGCATGAAGAAAAGCCTCTGGGAATGGAGCTCCCCATGCAAATGAGGCAGCCATGAGTGCATGTCACACCCCAGCTGGCTCAGCAGAAAGCTGACCTGCAAAAGTCATGCCGGAAATTGCTAGAAGTGATTGTCAATAACACATGGTTCTAACAGTCAGACATTTCAAGGGATGAACTGCTGCTTCCACATGTCTGCCTCAGGTAAGACAGCAAGGTTTGCTCTCACCTCCTGCGAGGCAGATGGGGGCTGGCCAGGCCAAGGGCATCTGCCCTGCACAAGAAGTGGCCTACTGTCCTCAGTAGCAGCCTCCTTCTGTAGGAAAGGACCAGAGTAGCTGCAGGAGCTCTGTGACCAGAATCCCCAGAGAAAAGGCCCAAACAGGGGCTTCTTTACAACCTAGGCCCTTGGGCATATAAAGAGTCAGAAAACTCTCTAAGGCTCCCCCTGGCTGGGTACCACCAGCCCATGCTGGCTGGAGAGGAAAGTTCAAAAGAACCTCCTGCCACTCTGCCCCCAATAGTCCCTGGCAACTAACTGGCCCTTGCCTCTCCCTTAGATCACCCTTGGTCCCTCAGCCTCGACTAAGGTGTCACCATACTGTCCTAATCCCATTTGCCTTTCCTGAACAGTCACTGGGAGGGACTGGTCCCACCTTTTGCTCAGGAGGCCGCCGGCCACAGCCCTTCCTGTGGGCTTGCCAAGAGGGGAGTGTTGAAAGGGTGCACCTTCCATGCCTTGGCCACCTTCCTCATCACCTGGTTTCTTCTCCTTCTGGCAAAATGGCTTCTTGTTGGGACCTGAGGACACAGGAGGCAGAGAAGGGCTTATGGTGTCATAGATCATGCAATACTGGACTTTTTCTCTTTCTTTTTAAGAAAGTAGCACCCTTACCATTGTTATAGGACATTAAAAGACCCCAGGGAAGTAACTATGTGACACATGGATCCACTCGGAGCATCTCCCAGCCCTGGGGAGGGGCTCAACACACACACAGCATTGGAAACTATGGGAAGAATAACTGAAAACTCACTTATTTTCTTCTTGTGCCAAAAGATAGCCATGTCTTTATGCAAACCTTTCCCCTTCTTCCTAGCCAGGGCTGCGGATGCCTGGAAAACAGTCCACAACCACCAAGTGTGAGGACATTGGGACATGAGAGGAGATGAGGCTGAAAATGCAAACTCAGTGAGAAGAGACCATTCAGAACACAAGAGGCTGCCACCTCAAGCCAGGCCATCTCCCTGCAGCTATGTGGAAGCCACCCTCACCTGTCTCAACTGTGTCACAAACGCACGTGTGCTGCTCTTGATTTTTTTTGTTAACAACTTTGTTCTGACAGAGCTTACAAACTTGGCCTCTTTGATATTTGGTGAGATGATCCTCACCAGCTGATTACATACATATACAGAACAGAAAGATTGCCAAGTCACACATAAGTGCAAAAAGAAGCTGCAGAATGATACTTATGGAATGCCATTTATCACAAATACCCACCTACGCTTTAGTGTACCTGCAGATAAGCTTGTAAAATGCCAGAAAAGCACACTCCATGCTAGGCACCTGGGGTTGCTCAGCTCTGTGTATATCAATGAAGGGGTTTACAAGAGCAATGTGCTTCATATTAGTTATGAAATATAAATATTTTGGATTCAGCCAAGAGAATAAGCATATTGCTACAGGCAAAAAATAATTTTAGAAACAAATGGGGTGTGTGTGCAGTGGCTCACACCTATAACCCTAGCACTTTAGGAAGCCAAGGTAAAGAGTCACTTGGAGATAGCCAGACTTTGTTTCCACAAAAATTTAAAAATTAGCAAGGCATGGTGGCACATGCCTAGTCTCAGCTACACAGGAGGCTGAGGTAGGAAGATGGCTTGAGCCTGGAGCTAGCTTAAGCCCAGGTGTTTGAGGCTGCAGAGAGCTACAATCACACCATTGCACTCCAACCCAGGGCAACAGAGCAAAACTCTGTCTCAAAAAAAAAAAGAGGATTACCATGTTACCCAGCAAGTCACTCCTAAGAATAAACACCCCCCCCCAATGAAAGCAGGGACTCAGATACTTGTATGCCAGTGAGCACTCTTCACTACAGCCCAAAGTGAAAACAACCCAAGTGTCCATCAACAGATGAATGCAGAAATATAAATGTGATCTATCCACACGATATAGTATTATTCACTCAAAAAAGAAATGAAGTTCTGATACATGGTACCAGGCAGGCAAATCTGGAAAGCATTATGCTAAGCAAAATAAGACAGATACAAAAAGATAAGAGTTCTATGATTTCATGCATATGAAATCTCTAGAATGAGCAAAGTCATAGACAGAAAATAGCTTATAAGTTATGGGGGTTGGGAAAATGACTGGGAGTTCACGCTTAATGGCTGCAGAATTTACTGCTTGGAAAGATGAAAAAATTGTGGAAATATATAATGGTAAACAGTGGTGATGGTTTGTACATCACTGAGAATGTGATTAATGCCACAAATTTGTTGATAAAAAGATCTATAGGAAAAAAATCAATGGCAAAAGTCCTGTGAGTTTAGCAGTACCCTGTTATCCACAGGGAAAAATTACAAGACACTCAGTGGATCCCTGAAAGCTTGGACAATGTCAAACTATATATAGGGTATATACTTTTTCCTCCTATATAAATACCTATGATAAAATTTAATTTATAAATTAGGCACAGTAAGAAATTAACAATAACTAGTGATACAATATAACAATTATAAAAACATACAGTAATAAAAGTCTGTAAATATGGTCTTTTTCTTAAAATACTTCATTGCATGTTATTAGACATAATGTTTTCCAACCACAACAGGCCACAGAGTAACTGAAATTAAATAAAGTGAATGACTACTGTATATTTTGGCACAAAATTTTTATTCTCAGGGATTTAAACAAAGGGATTTATTCTCAGGGATTTAAACAAAGGACATAAACTAATCAGAAATATATGCAGAAAAATTTGCAAAAACAAAAAATGGCCAAGTCAGTAAACAAGATAGAATGCCATGTGGCACTTAATTCTAGACTGTTTGATTTCATAAGCTACTAAAGATCACTACATGAAGACATTATCAACCAGTGTATGAAGTGTAATCTCATTTGTGTGAAAACAGTATGATTATGCATTTGCAAAGACATTAACCAAAACACTCATAGTTGTTATCTTGGAGAGTAGAACCTTGGGTGATTTTGTTCCCCTCAACAGAACATTCTGAGCTTTTTCCCTGTATCAATAAGCAATACTTCTATCATTTTTTAAAAAGTCATAAAAGATGCTTTCTACTTTACACATTCCCATAAAACTCAACTTTTCCCATAGTAATATTCAGAAAAAACAATGATAAAGCTACATAACATGAGCAGTCCATGCCCATATGCACCCTACACCCCACGTATCGTGCATACATTTAAAGTCACAATTCAAACATAATGGTGAACAGCCATTATCTCTGAGGGATGGTGTTAAACCATTATCTTAGGTTTCATTTTTTCTGTACTGTTTGAACATTTAGAGTGATTTTGTATTGTGTTCAAACAAAAACAAAACCAAAAGGCTCAAGCTTGAAAAGTGCCATGAGGGTGCAGAGCCACTCCAAAGTCTTTCAGATGAACCTGACTTTGTGGGAACAACTATCCCAGCATTTCTAGAGCACAGCATCCTGCAGGGGCCTGGAGCTCTTCACAAACAACTCCATGTTATGAAGTAAACAGTGCTACTCCAGCCTCTCTAAAAGTATTTGAGTACTTTCCCTACAGTATAGCAAACAGCTGATGAATGGCAATTTTTTAAAAAAAGTTTTAAATGGTCAGAGTTCAAATTTAGGGTAACTAATGACAAATCAGGGGTACTCACATGATCAAAAAAATGCACCACTGCAAGTTTTTTGCTACGCCTGGTAAAGATGCGCTGCACTTTGGCAATTTTGCTGAAGTGGTTCTCCAGAATGGTCCTGTCATTGAGATAGTCAGGGATGTTCTTACACTGGATCGCTGTAACTTCAGCAGGAGACAAGCCCCCAAGACTGTCTGTGCTCTCACTTCTTTTACTCTGACGCACAGGAGGACCTCTTAGAGAATCTAGGGGTTCAGAGGACACATAAACCCATTAGATGTCACCCTTTCAAATAGGAGGCACCAACTGTGTAAAAGCAAAGGGAATTTTTATGGATGTAAGACCTGATCCAAAGTCCTATGATATTTTCAGATCCCCAGTGTTTACAGGGAATTTATCTAAAAAAAATCAAGCTAATGGCCAGAGAAATTTAAATTTTTAGAGCTCACCTTCTTTTTTGTCTCTACTTGCAGCTTCTTCCTCTTTATTCACACCTGGAATCCGGGAAGGTGCCAGGACAGACTGACTCCCTCCTGGAATGGCTATGTGGTCACTTTCCCCAGATTCGACAAAGCCAATGTCCTTTTTCGACTCCTTGTTGCTCAGGCGAGCTACTTCTTTATTGCTTTTGAAAACATCTTGTATCGTCCGATCAAACAAAGTTCCTCCGCGGGGTCGATTCAGACGGACAGGTCGTTTATCTGGGGGATGATCACCCCTGGACAGAGGGTCCAAATCTTCTGCTGTCTCATGGCCATGTCTCCTTGGGGAACGATCCTGGTCCTCTTTCCTTTTCAGTCCTTTCATGAGGCTGGGTAATGGCTCCATCTGGGAAACACCTTCTTCACACCCTTGTCTGACATCTGTTTTGCTAACTGGGAAGGGTTCACCCAAAGCCCCAGATGATACTGGGAAGTTACTGAGGCTATTAGAACTTCCAAATAAGGACTTAGGTCCTCTCTTCTCTTCCTCTACATTTTGGTTGGACAAAGCAGGAGTAAAGGCAGATGATGAATTATTACTATTAACTGGTTTTGAAAAAGTAAAATTTGAATTAGAAGTTGAACTGCTTGTCACCTGAGGAAAAGAAAAGGGGGCCAGGCCTCCTGGTCCACTACTAATTGGGTGGGAAAATGTGAAAAACCCGGAAGTAATTTGGCTCTGGGTTTTCTCTGGCTCAGATTCAGCCCCCAATATTGGTCTGAACACTGCATTTTCCAGAGGTTTAAAGCTGAATTCTGCTTTCCCAAAACCAGAGCTTGCTATTTCTCCAGCTTCTGGTCCAAAAGTGGAAGTACTTGGGAAAACTCCTATATTGGTAGGTGATTTAAAACTAAATCCTGGGTTTCCAGGCACTGATGAACTTGAAGGCCCAGAGGTAGTTACAAAGGTGGGATTGTGTTCAAGTCCAGAAAAAAGTCCAACGCTTGAGGTTTGGGTGAATGCCGATGACTGCAATGGAGAAGAATGACTCACTCCAGACGATGCTGGAAAGCTGGGTACCTGTGGAAATCCTGGGCTCTTCCCAGATAACATATTGTTTTGACCAAAAAGAGATGGTTGACCAAATCGAAATGGTGGCTTAGACTGAAATGTTCCTATAGAAGTACTAGAAGATGATTGGAAAGCACTAGGCTGCTGCCCACTGAAAGGATTTGTTGGGTTCATCTTCTTATGTAATTATTAAAAAATAATAACTATATGTAGAAAATAGTCCTTTTCCTTAGTCTGTTGCACTAGGGAGCGCCTTTCATCTTCAACGTAAGCTAAAAGACAAAAATTCAGATCACCATAGCTGTATTCTGCTAGAAGACTAAGGAAAGAATTTTTCATCATGTCAAGCGCTAAAGATAATTTTTCTTTTCTGTCTTTTTTTTTGGTTTCCTTTTTTGGCAATTTTCTTAAAGTCAGTCAAAGCACTGAGTGTTATTTTCTGAGGGCCAATAGGTTCTTTTGCTGGAGGGCGGGTGCAGTGGTACAAATAATTATTTGTTACATTAGTTTAATGTAACAAATTAAACTGTGCTTAGGTCCAGCACAGTGGCTCACTCACGCCTACTGGAGACCAAGGTGGGAGGATCCCTTGAGCTCAAGAGTTGGTGGCCTGCCTGAGCAAGAGCCAGACCTCCTCTCTAAAAATTTATAGCCCAGCATTGTGGTTAAGTGCCTGTAGTCCCAGCTACTCGGGAGGCTGAGGCAAGAGGATCACTTGGGCCCCAAGAGTTTGAGGTTGCTGTGAGTTGTGACGCCAAAGGCATTCTACCCAAGGCAACTGAAATTAAATAAATAAAATAAAATGTGATCCTTTAAGATTAAAAAAATCGGAATCATTTTACTGAATTGGCAAGTCGATGAAAAACTTCAATTAGAAGTAAGAAAATGAGTACCATTACACCCTTCAATTTTAAGAGAGAAATTTCTCCTGGCTTCTTCCACTCTCCGTGGCCATATAATTACAATGTAACACTGTTAAACATTAGTGTTTCAGTGTTTCCTCCCACTTAATTTTTCTCGGACTGTCAGGAGTACTCGGTACTTTCTCCAAACACAAAACATACCGTTTTTTCTCAGCCTGGCGACCACCGCAGGACCAACACAAAGGACCAGCACGCTCACACGCAGACCCCGCCCTGGGGCGGTTCTTCACCCGCCACCTCCCGAAGGGCCTGCGGAGGCCGTCGTTCCGCCTGGACTCGCAGGGGCCGACGCGCCCGGCCGCTCCGTTGACGACGCTGCGACAGGGCACGCAAGGCTGCGCGGGGAAGGCAGCGGGGCGTCCGCGCCCGCCTGAACCCCAAGAGCCGCTCACTGTCCGGCCGCGGCACACTGAGGGCCGCTGCCCGCCGCCCGCCGCCGCCGCGCTGGGTCCTCCAGCGCCCGGCTAAGGGCTCGAGCACAGGATGCGCGCGGCGGGCAGAAAAAAGCGGCGGACCGGCTTCCGGTCCGTGCCTAGTCTCTGGGTCCCGGCCGAGCACGCTGCGTTCCGGTTCCGCTCTCCCGTCTGGGCCGCGGCTGGACTTCCGGTGACCCTTGCAGTAAAGAGCAGCCCGCACCTCTTACACTGCAGCCGGGTCTCGGCCCCGGTTCCGTCGGTTTCAGGTACAGGTACATGTGCAACTGGGTTCCTCATCTCCGAAATGGGGACGTCGTACGCACTGGTGCGGGCCGCGGGAAGCACTCAGACCAAAGAGGACCCCACGCGCGCGCTGCCCCACCCTCCGACCCCATACCGGCCCTCTACCCTCCCCACCTCTCCCTCCACATACCGGCCCTCTACTCTTCCCATACCAGCCCTCTGCCCTCCCCACCCCTCCCCCATACAGACCGTCTATCCTCCCCATCCCTCCCTCCCCTATAACGGCCCTCCACCCTCCCCACCTCTCCCTTCCCCGTACCGGCTCTCTTCTCTTCCTACCTCTCCCTCCCCTTGCTGCCCTTCTACCTTCACCCCCTCTCACCTTGTTCCTCTAGGGGCTTTCCACTATGAATGGCTCCTTACTTGCCACTGGCTTTAATTTCCTCTGGCTATTGTTGTTGATTCTGGTGTATCTGACTCAGTGGCTTCCTTTTATATGCCTTTGTGTTTATATCTTCCTTATGGTAAATGTAAATTCCCATAAGATTTTCAATAAATTCCGCCAAATAAACTGATTTGATTGTGTGTGTGTATTTTTATGGACTTTATTATTTCCTAGTACTGATTGGTCTTCTCTTAAACTTTAACTACAGGTGCCCTTAGAAACATTTTTCAAGGGCTGGTAGTTCTTCCTGAAATGAGTTTGGTGATTAGAAATCTGCAGCGAGTCATCTCCATTAGGAGAGTACCACTTCGCAAGAAGATTGAGATTGTAAGGAGTGTTTTAGGAGTGCAGAAATTTGACCTTGGGATCATCTGTGTTGACAACAAGAATATTCAGCACCTTAACAGAATCTACAGAGAGAAAAATGCCCCAACCGATGTGCTTTCTTTTCCATTTCATGAGGTAAAAAATATTCCTCTTTTTAAAAAATTGTTACTAAATTATAACTATACGTTTATGGAGTACAATGTGATGATTTGATATACAATGTGGAATGCTTAAATCAGAGTAATTAACATAATCATCACCTTACTTATTTTTGTGTAAAACCTTTATCTTTATAATGTACTCTTAGCTGTTTTGAAAAATACCCATGCATTGTGTACATTAGGTGAAATTCCACCAAATACCCTCCCTCCACTGTCCTTCCCCCTTTCCCTCTCCTCCCCCACCTCTCCCTCTTTCTTTCTGGACAATCTTTGTGTTTTATCATTTGTATTAATGTGTAAGTGTTTATATATTGGTTTCATAATAGTAGAGTACACAGGATACATTTTCTTCCATTCTTGAGATCCTATGCTAAGAAGAGTATATTCCACCTCCATCCAGGTAAACATAAAAGATGTAAAGTCTCCCTCTTTTTATAGCTGCATAGTATTCCATGGTATACATACACCACAATTTGTTAATCCATTAGGCTGCTTCCACAACTCGGCTATTGTGAATTGGGCTGCAATAAACATTTTCATGCAAATGTCTTTGCTGTAAAATGATTTTTGTTAATCTGGGTAGATATGTAGTAATGATATTGCAGGACCTAATGGTACATCAACTTTTAGTTCCTTGAGAATTCTCCATACTTCTTTCCAAAAAGGTTGTATTACTTTGCAGTCCCACCAGCAACGTAGAAGTGTTCCTTTCTCTCCACATCCACGCCAATATCTGCAGTTTTGGGATTTTGTGATGTGGCTAATCTTACTGGAGTTAGGTGATATCTCAAAGTGGTTTTGATTTGCATTTCTCTAATGATTAAAGATGATGAACTTTTTTTTATGTGTTTGTAGACCACACCCTTGTCATCTTCAGAGAAGTTTCTGTTCAAATCTCCTGCCCACAAGGAAATGGGGTTGTTTGTTCTTTTCTTTTTTTTTT